TCACGCGTGCTTCAGTATTTGTGTAGTAAACAAAACCGCGTTTCCGCCATTCATACATACAGAGGTAAGCGGAACATGCAGGATTCATATTTAAACCGTCTTCTTGCATTTTTAATATTCACAGACACTAGTTCATATCGCGATTCGAATTAAGTGGCAGTGGCTACTTTTGATTAATTCGTCCAAAATGGATGAATTCCGTGGCATTCTGCGCTATAGAGTAAATTACGTTTTTATGATTGGACTCTGCGATCCCGTCCGCGTTTTCGCAGAAACCATATGGCCCTAAAAATGGAACCACACTTCGGAACATTTCGGCTTGCCGTGTGTTGTTTGAACGAGTTGCAGGGGTGACATCACATCACAGGGTCTCTCTTTCTCTCTCTGTAGCGTATGCGCCCAGATGCGGTCTCAGGTACCGAAATTTGGTAATCAGTAAATGACGATGCTGTCGACCGGCTTACGTCACTTCTTAGTACACACTGTCGGTGTGAATGCAACCCTTTAAATGGTACTGGGAAATAGTTCACGTAAAATCGTCCCAGTACTTTAGTACTGTACATTTAGTTCTGGAACTAAAGCGGTGCGAAAGGCCCTCATTAGGCCACGACTGCTCCAATATAGAAGTACTTTTAAAATAAAAGTGCGCAATACAATACTTTTGAATTCATTATTGAATTTTGTGCATAATGCGATTAATCACGAATCACGATTAAATATTTTAATCGTTGCCCAGCACTAGTTTGTCCACAAATGTCAAATAATACAAAAAAGATTTGCACACTGCATACTCCTTCGTCAGGCACACACTGACCGAAACGTTGCCACTTTTAACTTTTTCCAAATAAAGAAATAATAACAGTGTGCAGATCTTATTTTTTTATTATTATTTGATGTATTTTTTTATCTTGCACCTGGACAAGACGCTTTGGATGTGCGTACTTTGACTTTTTCTATGCCCAAAAATGTCAACACAATTTTAAAGCTAATAAACAGAATATAGTTAACTATAGCTATGTTTCCATCACCCTATTTTAATGCGCATTTTGAAGTATCGCATGAGAAACGAGGAATGGAAACGGCAAATTTCGAATAAAAATCCCTTAATTCGCAAAAAAAGGTTTTACGCTCGCTTGAGGTGATTTTTGACTTGTGCGAAAAAGGTTTGATGCGAATAATGGGAGATGGAAATGCATTTTGCGAATAAATTCCTCCAAGCGCATCAAAAAAGTAATGCGCTATGGGACGGCAAAACCTGACTAACCAGCGGACCGATCTCATTCTACAGCACCTGAAATGTTGTTATATGGTCATTCGGAAATGCACGAGCAAAGTCTGTCATCAAAGTATTTCTGTATAATTGCCTCCCAGAAATGTCTTACACGACTGTGTTCCCAAACAGCAGGCGTCCACCTCCGAAAGCAATGACCGCATTCATTGTGTTTCGTCTGCTCGCTCTGAGGCGCAAGTAATTTATTATATATGAAAATTATTATATTCTCCTACTTTTCTTAGTGAATTATAGTGCCAGTTTATCAGGAAGTGACGATTTTGTTCTCTTTGACTTGTTGGATGGAAACGATGCTTGTTCGCAAATGTTTTATGCGATATTCCAGTTTTGCGCACAAGGTAAATTCGCAACTTTGGATGGAAACCCGGCTTATGTTGACAAAATCACTAATAGTACTAGAAGAGAGACACTACTATAATAAGCAAAGTTTCTGTATTATAATAGGGTTTAATCTTAACTGTTCATAAATGGCATATGATATCAGTCCATTATATACAGTGGCCCTCCAAGAACTGAGTTTGACACCCCTACTTTACACGTATAAATGCCTGTCACTTTAAAGCAATTAAACGAGTTAACAGTTTGTCTCTTTTCACTCTAGACCCAATGCAGCTGAAAGAAGAGAGTGAAGTACTGAGTGAAATGGAAGTGAAAGAACAGAATGAGAAACATCATGATTTCATAACTGGAGAAAAATTGTTTAGTTGCCCACAGACTGAAAAGACTTCCTCACAACAAAGAGCTCCAAATACAGGCATTAGAAATGATTTCTCCTGCTTTCAGTGTGGAAAGATTTTCAGTCAACATGGAAACCTTAAAGTCCACATGAGAGTTCACACTGGAGAGAAGCCTTACACCTGCCAACAGTGTGGAAAGAATTTCACTCAAACAGGAAACCTTAAGACCCACATGAGAACTCACACTGAAGTCAGCTCTTTCATCTGTCATCAGTGTGGAAAACATTTTAACAAAAAAGCAAACCTTCAAGTCCACATGAGAGTTCACTCTGAAAAGACCTTTTTCATATGCCCTCGGTGTGGAAAGAATTTTAACAGAATAGGAAACCTTAATTCCCACATGAGAATTCATACTGGAGAGAAGCCTTACACCTGCAAACAATGTGGAAAGAGTTTTACACATAAACCAGCTCTTAATGCCCACGTGAGAATTCACACCGGAGAGAAGCCTTACTCCTGCAAAGAATGTGGAAAGAGTTTCAATCAAAAACAAAACCTTAGAGTCCACATGAGAATTCACAATGGAGAGGTCCCTTTTTCCTGCCAACAGTGTGGACAGTGTTTCACTCAAAAAGGAAACCTTAAAAAACACATGAAAATTCACACTGTAGAGAAGCCTTTCACCTGTGAACTGTGTGGAAAGAGCTTCGTCGTGGAACTAAACCTTAGGTATCACATGAACATTCACACTGGAGAGAAGCCATTTACATGTGATCTTTGTGGAAAGTGTTTCAGATATAATGTAACCCTTAATTCTCACATGAGGATTCACTCAAGAGAGGACTGTTTTATATGTAATCAGTGTGGAATGAGTTTCCCAGACATGACACACTTCAATAAGCACACAATAATTCACTCTGGAGGGAAACCTTTCAAATGTCACCAGTGTGGAAAGAGCTTTCGAATAAAAAAACCCCCTTAAGACTCACATGAGAGTTCACACTGGACTAGGGATATGCCGGTATCAAATTTTCATGTTGTGGTTAATTGCTAATGCTTTTATCACGGTATGCGGTATTATCACGATATTGAAATTTAGTTTTTTTTTAAAAGTGCTGTCATAATACAGTATAACAGGTTTAATAACTTTTTAT